CGATCTATAATATAGTCACGTGTAATCAATTATATGCAGGAGTTCTCGTGACCCGCTTATACGTATTCTTTTTTCAAGTGCACGTGATATTTAATTACATCTGTACCTGATCTACATAAAGGACGCGTCCTGATCTATATAAAGAACGCGTTCGCATTTTCACAACATATTATGGACCACACGAACCTTTAACTTATAAAGCCCATAGAAAAAAATACAACCCTTTATGACCCATTGGTCACTTCTAGGCTTTCTTATGTATCGCAAGTGACAAAATGATTTCTCGAGACTAAAGGATAAAGAGACATCACAGATACAAAAAGAATTTGCTGGCCGTGCTGTCAGGCGACGAATCCACCACAGCTGAAATAGTAGCGGCGCACTATTGCCTTGACAATTTCAAAGTGAGTCTTACAGTTAAGCATAAGAAGGAAGAAACTTTGGAAAAGCGAAATTATTGAAAGTTTCGTGAAAAAGGATTCTCAAAGCACTGACTATCTTGTGTTAATTTATGCTTATTGTATTGATAATAGAATGAGGTTGATGAAGAATATATACTTGCCATTTTTGGAGTACCATCATTCGAGAAAAGAAAATTCAAAAGTCAAGAATAGCCATTATTAAGAATAAAATGATTATTTCTCAAAAAAATAATGATTTGCTGATTGAACGTGTGGCACCTCAGCAAGTACGCTCGTTTCGTTAAGTATGACTTTTTTAAATGATTTTCTAATTCTAATTAAGTTTGTATTTGACTAGACCGAGTTGCTCCACGCTACCGCAAAAGCTGGGAAGCAATCGCAGGTTGTACAACAAAAAATAACTAATGACTGGTATGTGTGATGATACCTAAGTTGTTTTTGCGTCTCTCTCGTATTTATCTTCTATAAGTACCAATTAAAATTGTACATCACACAAATGAATGCGAATTTCAAAAAAATAAAGGAAACAACCTTCGCAGTCAACACATGAAGTAGCAGTGTACAAGCTATCGAAAACTTCAAGATCAGTGATGAGGAAGAGGTTCAACCGCCATCAAAAATGCTTAGGGTGGATAAACTCGAACAGCCACATACTCCAGTAGATAAGGTAGTTGTGTTTTCCATTGTGCTGTTAATATATAACCCGCAACAAAATGGTTTCTTACCTCTCGAATGTACACAGATCAGAGCCGTCAATTATGAAATTCTTCCGAATAAAGCCCATCGACGACGATGACGACTTCGTTATATGTGCTATCCTCTCCTGATTCCATTATTGGCGAAGAATTTATAAAGACAGAAAAGCACAGTTACCGTATGAATTACCGTATGTCGCGGTGTATAGTACCCCCTTGTCATGGATATTTTAATGGTGCATATCTTTCTGCCAATTATTATGTACGTAAAAATATATATATAATATTCTTATTCGTGTATATTGATTAGAAGACCGGCAAGTATTCTACAGGGGGGAGGGGGTACTATACACCGCGACGTACGGTACCTTATCAGTCCTGGTGTTTCCGAGTGGCACCTGAATGAAGATTCAACACGAGTAAATGTTTTATTTTTACGCACCACGTACTATTAATTTACTATAAATTTATATAAAAAATAAAAGTAAAAGTTGAAAAAAAAAACAGAAGTAGTAATAGAATATGTTTTTTATTTATCAAAAAATTTTTATGAAATAAATTTAAAATATTACAACAGTTTTTTATTTTAAACAGTGGTTTGTAAATAACATCGACATTTCCAAGATATGTCTCGAGTATCGTGTAGTAGTGGTTAAAAAATGCGAATCCAAGGCAGTCATCCTGAATGCTATCGAGGAACTGTTAGTATCATGTAGTAATATCGGTAGTAAATATACTATAACTAAGCCTTTCTCTCTTCTTACAGGGCTTTAAGCCATGTATTTGTTTTTCAGGAAGAAAGCCCCCACGGATTGTGCGAATATATCGGCGATAAAATATGGGAAAAGCTTTTGGTTGAGTTTCGAAAACTGTATCCGTACACATTAATCCTGGA